TTCTGGTGACCTGGGGGTCCCCAATGAATTCCCTTAATTTGCAGGGATTTCCTCTAACTTCCTGTTTGGCTATCGGACAGGAAGTGAAGGGAAATATCCATAATTTGGACACAGATGGTGGAAAAAAAAAATCTGACAGGGGTTATAACCCTCCCTTACTCGATCCACAATGAAAAAAACAAGTGTTGCCTATAGATCTACTTTAATTATCTGTGTTTACTCTACATGTGTCACTACCCATGACAAATGAAAGCAAACCTCTGAAGTGAGCACTAGGCATGACCAGATCCACCCCAGGAACACAAGAGACCTGAGTGACTCAGGCTGAGGAGTGATGCCCTCAATGCATCCTACAATAGGTACAGGATCTCAGCAACTGGGGTGCACCGAACGTTGCACTGTAAGATGAATTGGGCATCTTCACAATATTTCAAAAAGTTGCCTTTAGCATACTGCAAGTATTGGGAGTCTAGCTGATCCTTGAATGTCCTCAGAAAAAGTTTAGCAAATCAAAAGCACAAATCAGCACTTTTTCTTTCAGAGGTAAGTTTCTGAGGGGTGACAGGTTTGCTTTAATGTGTTATTCTTGTGCACATTTCTATAGTAATGAAATTTTGACATAAAGTATTCTTAGAAAGAACAAAATGTCTAAAAATCATTATAATATTCATAAATCATACATGCATAAAATATGTGCATTTTTCCTTTACTTTTATCAATGAATGCTGCTAAAAACACTCTTTTATTTTTCAATTTACTTTTTGCAAACATTCTAGCTGTCATTTTTTTTTTAACAAGGACTGCTGAATTAAAGTTGATTGTTTAACTTGTGCATTACCTCCACTTTTTCTTTTTTTTTTGCTGTTTGTATAGATTCTTCTGTTTCGAAAGACATACATGCTTCTTCTGTCATGCAATGCTTGCTGCCCCAAATCAGGTTGACCAAGTTTTCTAAGTAATCTTTTACTATAACAGCTGCAAAAAAAATGTATTTATTGACATGAACAAGCTGTGTGCTGCATCCTTGGACCAGAGGGAGCCTCACGGCACAAGACAGCTTAGTAAATATGTCACATAATCTGGAGTTGTCTTATCTCCTTTGCCCATGTTGGTAACCGAGAGCTGAGAAGTTGTAACAGGTCAGGGCTGCACATGCCATCTCTCCATCGGAACCTCTCTGAGGGCCCTGGCCTCATCAGAAATTCTCCAGCCTCCATCTGTTGTCATCTCTTATTAAGGACAGAGGGTGCTGAATCTCCTGGAGGTAGAGGAGGAGTGTCATTCTACTGAGACCTGTCTGCAGTGTGCAGCTTCATATATTAAAAAATAAAATTGCTTCAATTTTTTATCGCTTATTACTTTTTTTCATAGCCCTGAGTTGGATGTGCTTTGCCTAAATTTTATTTTAAGTGTTGGAAATAATTTACATCTGCAACAAGGATTGAAAAAAGATGTAATTTAACTGGTGTGAACTGTGCAGCAACTGAGAATAACGTTTCACACCAATTAAAGACTAACTGAACCCTAAATATATAATTAATTATAATATAAAGTGCATCAAATCAAAAGGTGTTAAATGTTTTATAAGATTTAGAAAATAATTAGAAAAGCCTGTTCTCTGCCAGTAGCTGCAGAGCAGTAGAAGCAGTGGTCTTACTGCAGAGGTCCGACACATTCCCCAATGAGTCAGTCCTATAGCTCTGCAATCAGCAAAGTTAATGTTCCCTACAAATCAGAGAGTTCTGGCTCTGACTCAGCAGGGGGCATATAGAACTTTCCAGAGAAAAAAAAAAAAAAAAAACTGCTGCACCCTTTGTTTTCATGTACCTAGAATGTATTTAGCTAATTTAGGCTGAAAGTTCAGTTAATCTTAAAAGTACATTTGTTTGCCAATTGTGATTTGTCTCTTTAAACATAAACTACTGCTTGCACGCTGCCAAAGTGGCAACAGTCCCTACCGAAATGTATTTTTAGGGTAAATTAAGCTATAAGGATACATAAATTGGATTGCACACTAGGAACCCATTTTTTATTGTTGTCTGGGCTGTGCAATGTTCAGCTATAACTCTTAAGGTCCTGGGTTACATTCCTATGAAAGGCTGTATCTGTGCGCAGAGTTTGCTTGTGTGTACTGGGTAAGTTTCGGCTCTGTGCCCTGGTTCCACAATCCAAACACCTAATGGTAGATTTAAAAAAATAATGGTAGATTAATTGTTTAGTTTTCCTGGTTTATGTATGGGTGTGTATGGGGCAGGGATTGGTGTATACAGATATCTGTACTTTAATATGTTACAGGTATAATCACACTGTAGAATAATATATCAAAAATATATAAGAAGAGAAAAGAAGGAGAAATCAGTCAAACCTTGCTTGACTTTGACTTCCACAACACAATCTCTTCTGCCTAGCAGAATCAGATTTACTGATCAGAGAGACATGTAGCTACCATAATGTCTTAGGCCAATACTCAGCCTGCCTTCTTGGTCCCTCATCACATTTAAAAACCAAAAGGTAAGCAGGAGGGTAGGAGGTGGCAGGTTAAATACTAACCAAGAACCACCTTGAGAAAAAAAAAAATAACCCTAATGTGGATAGTAGACAATCAAGTGAAAAATTCAGGAGCAATTCAGTCCAGTGCTGACACCAACAGACTATTTTAAGAAATCTGAAATGTGCCATTAATATAAAGGTAGCAGACTGAACCAAAAGTTTTTTTTTAAGGCATATTGGCTCTTGGGGTTTATGTACTTTCAAAAGCCAACTAACCTCATTCAAAAACCACTCTGGAACATAGGTTTTGTTGTTTGTTTTTCCACAAGAACATGTCCAATAGAGTTGAAAGCTGCTGTTGTAACCCTAAGGAGGCCCAAGGAGCCATTTGAAACCCACTGCACCTTAATGTCGCCTTTCCTATTGACTTTATTGCAATTCTCTGAATGTTGAAGTTTGGTGTAGATTTTCAACAAAATGTTGGCAAAGTAAAAAAAACTCATTCCTTATGACTTGACAGCATCACAAATCCTATGGAAGAAAAGACAGTTCTCATATATGTATTTAAGTTTGGTATTTCTAACTATTTGTCTGTAGTTCAACTTTAAGTTAAGTGAAGGCATCAATTTAAATGAACCCTAAAGAAACACTGGATATTATCTTTGGGCTTAAATTGAATGCACAGTGGTCCAAAATTAGCAAAACAATTTTCTATACACATATAAATTCCTGATTTTTAATGCAATTAAGCCTGTTCATTAAGGATGAGATGTCTACAGAGGGCTAATCGGTAGCATAATTAACCCCCATCAGTTCATTATGGAATACTGCAGAAGGAAACAGCATTACTGAACAGCAGGGCTGGTTCTAGTGGATGGACAGTGCTGGCTAACACTGCTGATTTTGTGTCTGCTGCTGCATTACATTCCAAAAGACACAAGGCAACAGTGGACTTGGCGGCAGCTCGAAACCCTGCAATCTCAATTCTCAATTGTCATATTTTATTTTCTTCACTATAGGATAAAGCAGTTCTTCATACAATGATATACAATCCGGCAACATTTATAATTAGGTCCCACCTCGCTCTATTAATTTTCCTATGGAGAGATACTTTCTCAAAACACACAGAAACATTTCTGGATTTGCAACATATCATATGCATTTAAAGAAAAACAGTTTTTGTCAATGTGTATTCTAAATGTTGACATGTTTACTAATTGATGTTTTATAGCTTTTACAGTTTATATAAAATCTTTAATTTACAAAAAAAAAATATTAAATGCAAGGTGCCGTTTGTAAGGCATGCTGCAGTTTTCTAATAGGAAAGCCCTGTACTGTGTACTTTTCTGACAAACTGAGCACAACAGTCCCATCTTTACCAATTGAAGTGTCTTTCCTCTGAGTCCTTCAACTGCATATGTAATCTTCAGAACTATTTCATAGAAGAGCTTTTCTTGGAGCACTGGAAAACTGGAAAACTGAAAAAGTATCCATCCTTAACGCCTGCCAAATGCTGGCTAAAAGTGCTAAACATGAAATATTTGTACATAAATTTTAGATTTACCGGTACCTGATTAAGTAATAGAGTATTGATTGTAAAAAAAAAACCCTCATATTTATCTTTTCATAAATTTTTTTTTCTGTACAAATTACAAGGGTATTAAATATTATCTTTAATACTTTATGTTAGATCACTCCCTTCCTCCTGCTTCTCTGCTTTACTGCATCCATCTGCACCAATCCAACATTCTGCATATTCCTGGGTACAGCCCCCTTTATATAGAGTGGTCACTGGGATCACCCACATCTGGTTGTCACAGTCAGTCAAGCATGCTGTAGGGCATATGTTGTTTAGAAATATACAGCACAGTCATACAGTACTATATTATTGAAGGACGAAAGGGCCTATGTGCAAGAACAATTTTGTGCTCCCAATAAACTACTACCCAAGAACAAATACTAATTCACTGTACATAGATAAATAGAAAGATTATAGAGAAAGATAGATAGACTGTATAAATATCATTTTTGAGAATACCTGTTTAGTGGGCAGATTATGCATACATAAATGGCCACCTTATAATATTTAAAGTGATATTAACCACTAGCCTACCGGGCACTTATACCCCCTTCCTGCCCAGGCCAATTTCCAACTTTCAGCGCTGTCACATTTTGAATGACAATTGCGCAGTCATGCAACATTGTACCCATATGAAATTTTTATAATTTTTTTGAGACAGATAGAGCTTTCTTTTGGTGGTATTTAATCATTTCTGGAATTTTTATTTTTTTCTTAAACAAACCAGAAACCACAAAATTTTGAAAAAAGAAAAGTTTTTTCTTAGTTTTTGTTATACAATTTTGTAAATAAGTGATTTTTCTCCTTCACTGATGTGTGCTAATGAGGCTGCAGTGATGGGCACTGATAGGCTGCACTGATGGACACGGATAGGTGGCATTGATGGGCACTGATGAGAAGGCACTGGTAGGTTGCACTGATGGGCATTGATAGGCATCACTGATGGGTACTGAAAGGCAGCACTGATACATGACACTGATACATGACACTGATATATGGCACTGATAGACGGCACTGATAGGCACTGACTGGCACTGTTAGGCAGCACTGACTGGCACTGTTAGGCGGGACTGACTGGCACTGATAGGCGGCACTGACTGGCACTGATAGGTGGCACTGATTGGCAGCACTGATAGGTGGAACTGATTGGCATTGATAGGTGGCACTGATTGGCATTGATAGGTGGCACTGATGGGTGACATTGAAAGGCAGCTCAGATGGGCACTGATATGTGGCATTGATGTGCACTGGTATGCACTGATATGTGGCATTGATGTGGCACTGATGGGCACTGGCACACGTGGCACTGATGGGCACTGGCACTGATGAGCACTGACAGGTGGCACTTCTGGGGCCACACTGAACATCAGGGCACACTGATCATCAGTGCCCTGATGATCAGTGTACATGTCCCCTCCGCGGAAAGCCGATTACCGGCTCTCCTCTCCTCTCAAGCTGTCAGCGTGACAGCTCGAGAGGAGAGAAATGCCGATAACCGACATTTCCGTGTTTACAAGTGATCAGCTGTGATTGGAGACAGCTGATCACATGACCGAGCCGACATCTTCGGCTCTTTCTGTGATCCGCTGTGTCCATGGACACAGCGGACCAGCGATCACCACGCTGCACGCTCCCTGAGCTGCGCATGTGCAGTGAGAATGGTAGGACGTCATTTGACGTCCTATCAGAACGAGAGAACCACCTTGCACCTGTCATTGTATTATAGGGCGGGTGGAAGGTGGTTAAAGGCCTAAACTAAAAAAAAAAAATAAATCAATAACAAACATGTCTACACTTACATGCTGTGTGCAGTGGTTTGGCACAAAGAAGCCTGGATCCTCCTCTTTTTGGATCCCCCGCAGGCTCTCCTGGCCCCCACCTCCTGTCAGGTGCCCCCACAGCAAGCAGCTTGCTATGGGAGCAGTAGCTGTTCCATGTGTCTATTCACACGGCCCCACCCCCTCTCTCATTGGCTCACTGACTGTGATTGACAGCAGCCAATGGTTCCCTCTGCTGTCTTAGCCAATGAGGAGAGGGAGTCCTGGGATAGCCAAGACTCCAGTACACATCGATGGATCGAGAGAGGACTTAGGTGAGTATTGGGGGGCCTGGGGGGGGGGGGGTTTCTGCGGAGAGAGCCTTTACAACCACTTTAATATAGTTTTAAAGTTCACTGTGGATATCATGTACTTGGCCCCACTGCAGAACTTATGGTGGCAGTACATTATTGGTACTTCTCCAACACCTTAGACAAAGTTGACCTGTATACACAAATTGTAGATTGTTTGAGCAAGCCCCCTAACTTTCTAAATTTCCTAAATTGAATTGTAAATGTACTCTCTCTTTATTTTGTAAAGTGCTGCACAAACTGTTGGTGCTATAAAAATCCTGTATAATAGTATTATTGATAAATGGGGAATGACATCTTTTAAAGTGTCAATCTGTCCAAAACTTTTGGTTACAGGGGGAAGTGTTGGGGTCATTCCTATCAGAACAAGCCGGGATTTGTTAGTGCTGCCTGCATTTTTATAGCTGGAACAGTTTTTTGTAGATAACAGAGTGCCTGCATGTGCTAATTAAAAGTGAATTTCAAAAAAGACCCTTGCAGTGGGGTTCCAAAGCACTGCAAGGATTAAATGCAAGGGGGAACAGAAAAAGTAATTTGAGAGCGGGCTTAGGTGAGTATTGGGGAGATGCTGCACAGAGATTTTTTACCTTCATGAATAGAATATACAGTCAGGTCCATAAATATTGGGACATCGACACAATTCTAAAATTTTTGGCTCTATACACCACCACAATGGATTTGAAATGAAACAAACAAGATGTGCTTTAACTGCTGACTGTCAGCTTTAATTTGAGGGTATTTACATCCAAATCAGGTGAACGGTGTAGGAATTACAACAGTTTGCATATGTGCCTCCCACTTGTTAAAGGACCAAAAGTAATGGGACAGAATAATCATAAATAGAAACTTTCACTTTTTAATACTTGGTTGCAAATCCTTTGCAGTCTATTACAGCCTGAAGTCTGGAACGCATAGACATCACCAGACGCTGAGTTTCATCCCTGATGATGCTCTGCCAGGCCTCTACTGCAACTGTCTTCAGTTCCTGCTTGTTCTTGGTGCATTTTCCCTTCAGGTTTGTCTTCAGCAAGTGAAATGCATGCTCAATCGGATTCAGGTCAGGTGATTGACTTGGCCATTGCATAACATTCCACTTCTTTCCCTTAAAAAACTCTTTGGTTGCTTTTGCAGTATGCTTTGGGTCATTGTCCATCTGCACTGTGAAGCGTCCAATGAGTTCTGCAGCATTTTGCTGAATATGAGCAGATAATATTGCCCGAAACACTTCAGAATTCATCCGGCTGCTTTTGTCAGCAGTCACATCATCAATAAATACAAGCGAACCAGTTCCATTGGCAGCCATACATGCCCACGCCATGACACTACCACCACCATGCTTCACTGATGAGGTGGTATGCTTAGGATCATGAGCAGTTCCTTTACTTCTCCATACTCTTCTCTTCCCATCACTCTGGTACAAGTTGATCTCGGTCTCATCTGTCCATAGGATGTTGTTCTAGAACTGTGAAGGCTTTTTTAGATGTCGTTTGGCAAACTCTAATCTGGCCTTCCTGTTTTTGAGGCTCACCAATGGTTTACAGCTTGTGGTGAACCCTCTGTATTCACTCTGGTGAAGTCTTCTCTTGATTGTTGACTTTGACACACATACACCTACCTCCTGGAGAGTGTTCTTGATCTGGCCAACTGTTGTGAAGGGTGTTTTCTTCCCCAGGGAAAGAATTCTTCGGTCATCCACCACAGTTGTTTTCCGTGGTCTTCCGGGTCTTTTGGTGTTGCTGAGCTCACCGGTGCATTCCTTCTTTTTAAGAATGTTCCAAACAGTTGTTTTGGCCACGCCTAATGTTTTTGCTATCTCTCTGATGGGTTTGTTTTGTTTTTTCAGCCTAATGATGGCTTGCTTCACTGATAGTGACAGCTCTTTGGATCTCATCTTGAGAGTTGACAGCAACAGATTCCAAATGCAAATAGCACACTTGAAATGAACTCTTGACCTTTTATCTGCTCATTGTAATTGGGATAATGAGGGAATAACACACACCTGGCCATAGAACAGCTGAGAAGCCAATTTTCCCATTACTTTTGGTCCCTTAACAAGTGGGAGGCACATATGCAAACTGCTGTAATTCCTACACCATTCACCTGATTTGGATGTAAATACCCTCAAATTAAAGTTGACAGTCTGCAGTTAAAGCACATCTTGTTTGTTTCATTTCAAATCCATTGTGGTGGTGTATAGAGCCAAAAATGTTAGAATTGTGTCGATGTCCCAATATTTATGGACCTGACTGTATGAAGGTAAAATACCTTCAGCCTTTACAACCACTTTAAGGCACCTCAGGCCGACCACAGTAGATTAACAAAATACACTTAATGTAAAGACCAAAGCACTCATTGGTGAGAAGAGATTGAGTGTACCTCAGGACAAAACATTTCTTTTTTGTTTAAATTTTATGACAAAGTTGGGTTTGTTTAAAATATCTGTGAAATTTTTATTTCTGACTGTATCCCTATTGGGGCGGACCACCCTCTCTATCTGTCCTGGTGTCAAGAAGTTTCAGTCATAAGAATGGGAATACAGGGGAACTCTTTCAATTGAGACACCTGTTTCAGTGACAACTGTCTAAGAGGGGATTTTACCTGACTTTGAGGAGATTTGCAATCACTTCCTGTTGTGTCTCTGTAACTGGAAGTGAAGGGAAAAGTTCCCAATGGGGCACAGAGAAAAAACCCTACATGTGTTCAATCTGTTCCATACTCTATTTAAACTAAAGCTCTGAATAATTTGTCTGGCCAAACACTGATCTCACGAAATGATAGCGAAATAAACAGTAGAGGGCCAATGCAAAAATATTTGTTCAAATCAACTCTATAATGTATATGATTTTACTGTTGTTGCATTTGATATAAAAAGGCCAATGAGTTTCAGAGGTTTAAAGGGGCCCATTTCATTAGGGTTTGAGAATGCAGAAGGGGCTAAGGTCTGGAAAATGGTTGATGTTATTCTATAAGTGCTTACAAAGCCTAGTTTGGAAACCACAATGAAGGGGGGGGGGGGGGGGCTTGAAACCCCTAAAAATTATTGACTTTTTTTAGCAATTGCAACAACAAATAGAATTCGATTAAATACTTTTGTATTGGTGCTGTCTTCTATCAAGCTTTAAGAAGAATGTTTCTAAGGTTCATTATGGTACATTAGAAAGATCCCTGTGGAACTATTCCCCTATCAACAACCCACCCAAACAGGGCTCTAACAATGCCAAGATGCTCAGTGATGCTCATTTCTATCATCCTTTTAACTCAAGAATAAACTATTGTTTTCTATTTGTGAACTGTAATAGTGTTGGTTTGCATGTTTCAAATCACTTCACAGGCTGAGACCAATATCCTCTGGTCAAAGAAAATAGATAAGGTACGTTCAGCGCTGGGTGAACTGGGTGCAGTGGATACCATGTTGTGTGAAACTAATAAAAGAAGGATGGAGATGAAAAAGCTTCGCTTCCTTCACCATTTTGGAAATGTTAAATAAAGCTATTTATTTCTTCCATATGGTGCACCCAGAAAAAAAGAGCAAGCATGGGTTTTAGAGTTCTCCTTTAAATCTTTTGCATAGTTACTTTAACATAATCAGCCATTTGTTCCTAACAGCGTGGCAGAGAATCACAAGCGTTTCATTTCACAGCTAATTTACTTTGCAATTATAGATCTGTTGGTAAACATTGGCATAATATTCTGCTTAATATTCTTTTGCTTGTTTGTGCATTAAACCATTGGCTTCCTGTAATGCTTGCGCAGAAGCAGCGTGATAAAAACTAAAATGGCTTTTGCTAGGGGGGAAATTAAGTTAAATGGTAAGATTTTTGGGTTTAATGTTTATCCATATGCCACTAGAAGTACAGACCATATTTCCTTCTAATTAGCTGCATTGAGGGGGGGGGGGGGAGGGTTGTATAAGAGGGTACTCAGTCCTGTCATTAGACGTAGTGAGAAATATATGAAAGAATAATTGTACATTTGAAAATAATTCATCCCTACAAGAGGCACCATGACACACAGCCAAAATAAAAATGAAATGTATACTTTTGTAAAGATGCAATTCTGTGCTGAACTGTCTGGCCTGTGTCCTTTGGGGCTCCTGATACCCAGTGGGTCTACAGTGTAAGCTCAATTTTTGGGCCCCCCAT